CGGGGTAGGCCCCTGCTGAAAGGAAAACCCCCCGCAGGACTTGATACGCCCCCTTGATAAATCAATTAAATTATAATGAAACCAGCTGCAATGGATCATAGATCCACCAGGGAGAGCAGTGATTAAAAAGCTGCCACACTGGAACTCATGTGAAATAAACAGCTGATAGATCTACAGGTAACTGATAATAGCGGATCTTTGTTAAGATCCATATGGCACGGATAGGATCATATTCTGTGCTAAATAAGAGACATCTAATCATTTACAAAACATCACCAAGTTTTTATTTAACAAAATAATGTTGTTTAACCTGTTAAGCCCGCGAGACCCCGGTACCGGGGCACTGCCGCAACATCTTGCAGGACACAGTGTCTGAGGGCATGTTCATTTAATAAACTATGAATGTTTTATATCCATGTAACGGGAAGAAACTCATCTAACTGATCTTTTTTTTTTTTTTTTTCAAAAAAAACCCCACAATGCTAACGCTGAGCCTTTGAATTAGCAACGAGTGAAAAATGCTAACAGATTACTGCACCGAAAATCACTCACAAAACCTTATTATTTATCTTTTCTCCACATCCATGACATCGTTTCACATCGTGAGGTGACACAGAATCGAAGGGTACCTTCATTATCACTGAATTATACAAAATTGCGACGTTATAAACAAAAACAAACATTAAAACATGTGGCGCTAGGTAGATAAAAATGCTAACATGTTTACCTTGTCTCTGTAGTCTGCTCCAAAGTGGTCTTCAATGGCATTAAAACGATAAAAACGCTGCTGAAGTTAATCCATATAGGTTAATCCAATGTGTCTGTGTCCCTTTGAAATGATTTCTGATAATCCATGAGCAATAAAATTGCTTTTCCGTTTCTAGATGTCAGAGCTAGAGTGTAGTGTTACCTTTTATACTGACGGTATCTCGGCACCGAAATCGTAGTTTCGGATACACACCAGTGGTTTCTGACTTGGCTCGTTGTCAGCCGGTAACCAGCTGCCCAGATATTTCTAGGGGAAAAAGGATGAAGACGGGGCGTTCGGGTGCCGTGGGAAGAACCTCCGTTTATTCACGTTCTTCAGTTACATTCACACTGTATTGAATACATACAAACTAGACACTATTCTTTTTCTGACCACTTTCTCTATACTTTCGTCTCTCTCTTCATACCTCCGCACTTCGCCTTGGCCATCACATTTTTCACACACACAGACTTCCTAAAACCCACAACCCCTTGCGGCTGCTACTCTTAAAGTGACAGGCCAAGCCTGTAACAGTAGGTTCACTCTCATGCAAAACTACATGCGCAAAGCCCCCACCTTTTTGTTTTACAACGAGTGTGTGTGGGGGACTTCCCCTTCGATTCTATTGGCTCTAACGGTCAGAAAGAGGTGTCAACCATCAAAATCGACAAAGGGGGGCCAGAGATATGGGGAAAAAAACATTTCCACCCAAATCACCTCAGAGGTCGAGTGTTTTTAGCTAAACCTCTCTAAAAAGGTCAAATGTCACTTGTTTTGCATCAATCTTGATACAGGGTACTTATTATATGTTGTACTTTGGATTCCTAAAGCTTTTAGTCTACCTTACCATCATCCAAGGGTAGTTTTCACTATAAGTAAAAAATAATTTTTGGACGGACACTATAATTTACAGTTTTTTACTATGTCAAATCTGAATTTTCTTTAAAATAAAAAACATTTATATTGATTCTGACACGTCTACATCCAACTCACAGATGTAACCTTGCTTTGATCAAAGAAATTATTCATATAACCCTTTTAGAAGTTAAGTTGTAGTCATTTGTTTTGGGCATGTCATTTTCGAGCCTGAAACATGAAAAACAGGCTCGGTGCTTAACAGGTTAACAGGTTAATGAGGAAGAAATAAGAATCGCTATTGACGGCATGAAAGCAGGAAAATGTTTTTGGAAGCATTCCTTAGTGGTAGCCTACCCAGTTCAATGTCAGGTGCGTTAATAACACTACTGCCAAAACCAATTTAACTCTTTTAGAAGGGAAGATATGGTCATTTGTTCTGGGAATGTCATTTTCGAGCCTGAGACCTGAAAAACAGGCTCAGGGTTTAACAGGTTATCCATGTTTAGCTAAACGAAACAAAAGGGTAATAACAAAGGCTCTGAATTAGCCCTGAGCGGAAAAATGCTCACGCAATTAGCACAGAACTCAAGGTAAAATACCCTTATTACTTATCAAATCTGCACAAACAATATATCGATTAGCAAGCTGAGATTCAACAGATTCCATACATATAAGTATCATCACTGAGCGATCAGAACTCGCGACATGGGAAGCAAACACAGACATCACACAACGTAGCATTACGGAGCAAACACGGGAGAAATTCTTACCTATGCTGTTGTTCTGATCAAAGGTTGTGTTCAATGGCATTAAAACGATAAAAACGCTGCTGAAGGTTAATCCATAGGTTAATCCAATGTGTCTGTGTCACTTTGAAATGATTACTGATAATCCATCTTCATATTTATGTCAATAACGGAGATTTCATATTAGCTGCTACGAGAGTGTATGACAGCTTCCGGTTTTGGGCATTCTGGCTATGCATCACTCATTCACCAATGGTTAATGTTTAGATGGATTTTAGGAACTTCCCCTCGATTCTATTGGCTCTAACGGTTAAAAAGAGGTGTCAATCATCAAAATGGAAAATGCACCCAAATGACCAGAAGTGGGTTTCTTTTTCTAAATCTCTCTAAAAAGGTCAAATGTCACTTGTTTTGCATCAATCTTGATACAGGGTACTTATTATGTTATAGTTTGGATTCCTAAAGCTTTTAGTCTACTATCCCATCTGTAGGAGCCATTTCCTTAGATTATATTCATTTATCTTTTTAGAGTACATAACCTGAGATTCTGTGGTGTATATTATTTATTATTTAATTTGAGGGCGTTACTCCTGCAGGTCGAGATGCTGCAGCATAAAAGGAGAGGTGCTGCAGCCTACTGGTGTGGCTGACTGAAGCAAACAGTTTTTAGACCTTACTGGTTGGGAGCGTCACAGCTTGGTTCTTTCTTGTGCCTTTAACATTGAAGTATCAGTTTATATGAGAAATAGTTTGTTTAAAAATGTTTATTTATTTTTGCCTTTTTTGGAATAAACTATCTTACTTTTCAATCGCATCTGGACATTTATATTTTTTCTCTCAAACTACAAGCGTCTATTCGTTGGTCAGCCCCACGAGTGAATCACAAACAAAGGACAAAGAACAAATGGATATCGTGGTCACTACACCATCATTCATGGGTGGTTTTCACTATAAGTAATGTTTTCTTTTTGGACGGAAACTATAATTTACATTTATTTACTATGTTCAATCCAAATTTACTTTAAAATAAATAAATTCTTTATTGATTCTGACTTTTCTACATCCAACTCACAGGTTTATCATTGCTTTGAGAAAAAAGATTATTAATTTACCCCTTTTAGAAGTGAAGTTATAGTCAATTGTTCTGGGAATGTCATTTTCGAGCCTGAGGCCTGAAAAACAGGCTCGGGGCTCAACTGGTTAAATAAGTAGGGCCATTCCACCTTGTCAAAAGCCTTTTCGGCGTCTAAAGATAGGAGGGCCTTATCCGAAGTAAGCTCCAAGCCTTGAATAATATTAAGGACCCTCCTAACGTTGTGGAATCCTTGGCGACCCAGAATAAACCCATTTTGATCCCTGTGTATGACACTGGGTAGTGTTTCTTGTAGCCTTCTCGCTAAAATTTTACATAGAATTTTGAGGTCAGAATTAAGTAGACTTATTGGTCTCATATTTTCACATCTGTTGCTAGGCTTTCCTGGTTTTGGCAGTAGTGTTATTAACGCACCTGACATTGAACTGGGTAGGCTACCACTAAGGAATGCTTCCAAAAACATTTTCCTGCTTTCATGCCGTCAATAGCGATTCTTATTTCTTCCTCATTAACCTGTTAACCTGTTAAGCACCGAGCCTGTTTTTCATGTTTCAGGCTCGAAAATGACATGCCCAAAACAAATGACTACAACTTAACTTCTAAAAGGGTTATATGAATAATTTCTTTGATCAAAGCAAGGTTACATCTGTGAGTTGGATGTAGACGTGTCAGAATCAATATAAATGTTTTTTATTTTAAAGAAAATTCAGATTTGACATAGTAAAAAACTGTAAATTATAGTGTCCGTCCAAAAATTATTTTTTACAGATAGTGAAAACTACCCTTGGATGACGGGTTAGTAGACTAAAAGCTTTAGGAATCCAAAGTACAACATATAATAAGTACCCTGTATCAAGATTGATGCAAAACAAGTGACATTTGACCTTTTTAGAGAGGTTTAGCCAAAACCACCCCACCTCTGAGGTGATTTGGGTGAAAATGTTTTTTTTTCCATATCTCTGGCCCCCCTTGCTCGATTTTGATGGTTGACACCTCTTTCTGACCGTTAGAGCCAATAGAATCGAAGGGAGAGGCCCCCACACACACGTTGTGAAGAGAAAAGGTGGGGGCTGCGCGCATGTACATTTGCAGCAGAGTGGACCTATCTCTAGCTCTGGCATTTGGAAACGAAAAAGCAGTTTTATTGCTTATGGATTATCAGAAATAATTTCAAAGAGGACACAGACACATTGGATTAACCTATGGATTAACTGCAGCATTGTTTTTTTATCGTTTTAATGCCATTGAAGACCAGTTTTGACCAAGGTAAGCCATGTTAGCGTTTCTAGCTACCTAGCTCCACATGTTATGATGTACGCTTTCGTTTATAGCGTCGCAAATGTTTATCACTGAGTGTTGAGGTGGGCACCAAACGATTCTATGTCTCCAGCTGTTGCAAAACGATTGGTTGGCTGTGCATCTAGGATAAGTAATAAGGGAGTTATTGTGAGTTTAGGTGCCATTTTAGGTTACATTTTTTCGCTCGTGGCTAATTCAGAGGCTGAGGGCGGCAGCGCACTGTTTTCCGGAAGTGGTCATTCAGCAACGAAGAGCGTCCATGCTAGGGGTTTGTTTTGGTTCTCCTTTGCAGATCCACGAAGAAAACTATTCGATTGTCGAGTAACTTTTTAAGATTAATTGTTTTTTTAGCAATAGGATAAATATGTAAAACGCACTTGGTGACCAGGAGTATTATGATCATTAACAGGTCCATCATTCTCTACTGTGACATATTGTGAATACCAGACAGCAAACCAAAACATGGCATATCGCAATGGCCGAAATACACTTAGAGAGAAATATGAAGAGTGCATTTTAGGAGCGGATTCGAGAGAGGTGACAGTCCATCGAGTTGTCAATATTGTGGAAAAGGGGAACTCCATGCCTCGGACAAATGTGAACTATGGTTCTAAAAGTTCGAATTTTTCAATGTGGAATGATTGTCCTCGGAATTACCAGGACTCAAGAGAATTTCACGGCGATGACAGTTACCCACCGAATGATCGTCGATATTTTGATGATAATTCAAACAACAACAATTTTCGCAGAAATGCCTCACCTCCAAGAAATGAGGACCATTATTCCCAGCAGCCCTATGACAGAGATGATTTAAGGCACCAGTTAGCCTCAAGGAGCAATAGAAGAGGCGCTTCCTATTTCCGCGGCAGAGGTCGAGGGTCAGGCCCTCCTTTAAGAGAAGACCGTGACGAGTACAGACGCACTCCTCAACCTAAAGGAATGAAACGGGAACTCTCTCCTGGACGAAGGGAAGCACACCCACCTGTACCTGTCCGCTCGCTATCTAACACCAGCAGCAGGAGCTTCTCCCCCGACAGGGAGAGGAATTTAACCTACCAGCAGTCTCTGCAAAAGCATAAGACCAGTGCGAGCCACACTCCCAGCCCCTCTATAGAGGGGTCTCCTCACAGCTCTGGATCTGCAAAGGAAAAAGCTCCTGCATCTGTAGCGGAGACGGAGGAGTTGGTGGAGGCCAGCGTGGAGGCCAGCGTGGAGGCCAGCGTGGAGGCCAGCGTGGAGGCCAGCGTGGAGGCCAGCGTGGGGGCCAGCGTGGAGCCAAGCGTGGAGCCAAGCGTGGAGCCAAGCGTGGAGCCAAGCGTGGAGCCACAGCCGACACCAGACCAAGACTTCAAGGCTCGCCGGTCGGAGGCCATTAAGGCTAAGGCTCTGGAAATTGAGAAGCATTACAGGCAGGACTGTGAGACATTTCGCACAGTGGTGAAGATGTTGGTGGCCAAGGAACCCACCTTGAATAGTTTGCTACAGGTTCCACTAGATAATAATCTTCTGGAGATCAAAGAGCGCTGCCTTGATGCCCTCAGGCACTTTGTGAAGGAGCTGGATGAGGTATTATAGTCGCTGTACAACTCAGCAGAAGCTACAAGTAAATAAATGTAAAGAACACATTTTTTGACTTGTTTTTGCTCAAAGAACCTAAAACGCTGTCGATAGGCCTCTGGCACCAGTTCATATGCTCTGAGCATATATAGCTATAGCTAGAGCTATCTTCCAGACATAAGGAGGAATATGCAGACTGTGCTCTTCCTGTGAGAACACACTGAAGCATCAGAGCGCAGGCTGCATCAGGCCAATCTCTAGCTCTGGCTACACGTTCAAATAATACAAAAAACATGTCGAGATCACTTTCATTAAAGTGAGGCAGCAAGCGCAGGTTACTAATATCAAAGCGATGAGGAGACCTGGGCACCTGTTCACCCTGCCCCTCACCGGGCAACGCGCCATCTCTGAGAATAGACAGACGATGTCTCTCCAACTCTATCTTGGCTTTCTCAGATTCTTGTCGCATCCGCTCCACTGTGATTTCTTTTTCAATTCCCAACTCATACTTCATTTTGTCATGTTCCCGGTCATGTTCATACTTTACTCGGTCATATTCCTGGTCACGTTCATATTTTACTCTGTCATGTTCCCACTTTATTTTTTCGTGTTCCTGCTGCAACAACAACATTTCCCTTTGCTGCTCAAAAGAAAGTGCACTTGCCTGAAAACGAGGTTTTAACAAAACCCCCTCTTCCTTTGCAGCAAAAACTCCTATCTCCCTTTGCGTCAACACTATAGAGTCTTTAATGTTGTCTTTCACCCTTCTATCCCCGACAATAGACACAGCGAAATGCTCAGCAATTAAGAGCAGCTGCTCTCTTGAAAAAGTGCCAAGCAACTCCTGAGACGGAGCTTCAATAAATGCCTCTAAATGTCTGCTGGCACCAGAGGATTTAAAGGCCTGAGCAGACTCTCGATCTCTCTCTCCCGCAGAGGACCTGACCTCGGAGCAGCCACGTCGCTTCGTCTTTTGTTTTTCCTTTGTGTTAGTTTTTTGGTTTACGTTAAGCTAATAAATATATTTTTCATATATATTCTCGTCCTTCCCACGCTTTTTGTTATGGCCAAGAGCCAGGCCATGACAGATGTGAGGCATTGTGGGTTTTTAAAAAAAAAAAAAATTAAAAAGATCAGTTAGCTGAGTTTCTTCCCGTTACATGGATATAAAACATTCATAGTTTATTAAATATTAAGATTCCTTAGACGTTGTTTCCTGCAAATGACGCGTTTATCCGCCCGGTACCGGGGGGGGGCCGTGCGTAACAGGTTAAGATCTGCATCTCTGCAAACTCCTTAGAAATAGATGGAATATTCAGCCTGTCAAGAAATGTTTTTTTGGGTCTGGGGGTCATTTTTGACTTGGGATTGATACAAGTTTTCATAATATTTCCTAAATTCCCTGTTTATTTTAGTAGGGTCTATTATCGTGTCATCATTATTGTTAATAATTGAAGTGATGTTCTTCCTTGTTTCAAGCTGTTTGATCTGCCACACTAAAAGTTTGCCAGGTTTTTCCCCTTGCTCGTAGAATGTTTGGTTGAGCCTAAGCATACTGGATGCTGCCCTGTCCGCCGATAATTTATTATATTCGGCTCTTAAAGGTAGGGTAGGTAAGAATCAGCGACGTGCAGTCAGTGGAGGCAGGGGAGGCAGAGCCTCACCTGTCATACTCCAATGTAACGGAAAAACAATTAAAGAAAAACGAAATAATAATAATAATAAAATGTCTCCACTGATCTTGTGTAAATGTGATTTCTGTATGATTCCAATCGCATTTTATAGTCAAAATCAGCAAATTTGCCGAGCTCCACTACGGGAGCGATGAGAAGTGAGGCAGGGACAAGCACTGCCTCACGTAAGCCCACAGTAACTTGCTGGAGCGCGGGCACTAATTTAGCGCGGCCACTTATTTTGTGAGCGCGCTCAAGCCATTTACTGTGGGGTGAGGTGAGGCACAGATCAGCTCTGCCTCACTTCAGAATGCGTCACCCCACAGAAACTGGCTGGAAAGCGGGCCCTAAGCGCATGCCTGTTCCCATCTCACTGTAGGTCACCAATGTAATGTTTGTAGATCCCTTTATTACATTTATCCTCGCCATCCATAGTCTCTAAATAACTTATTTCACGTATATATGATATTTAGGCTCGCTGGTCTCAACGGCAATGAAAATGCACCAGGGGAGGCAGCCATAACCTCTGCCGCACTGAAGGGGGCGCACGTGAGCCCACAGGTTCTTGTTGCTACTGTTATTCTACCGCAAACAACACACTAGACCAGGGGTCGGCAACCTTTTTGATATGAAGTGCCATTTAAAAAAAAAAAAAATTATCAGCGTGCCAACGATCGAGAATTATCAACGGGGGGGGGGGGGGGGTGTTGAGGATGTTGAGGAGCTTGACGCTCGTGATCTATCAACAGGGGGGGCCTCGCTGCAGGGAAGCAGTGTGTGGACCTGTCAGCGCAACTTACATGATACCGAATTTAACAAACACATTTAAATAATTGGTTTAAACGGCATAATAATAAGGACGATCGTCCGTTCTGTGATTCTCCAGAACACACATGTTATGATATTAGGGTCATGCAGAGTGAGATGAGATCGCTGTCCCTTTAAGAGAGAGAGAGAGGGGTGTGGCGTGTGCGTGTGAGTATGTTTCTGGAAGTGAAACGAGGCAGCAGAAAAACAGAGGTCTGTGATGTATTTTGTGAAACAGAAGAACAGCTAAATAAATGCAACGGCCTCTCAAGAAGAGCTCGCCTCTCTCCAGTCATTTAAGCTAAAGTGGGTTATTGAACCTGAAGCTCGTTGCTTCTGCCCTCCTCGACTACGGTCTGGGAGCCGACAGGAAAGTTCAACACACAGATGGCCAGTCCGCCCCTTTGTAGCATATTATTTCAATGAGAGATGAGCAGATCGCCACTGGGCTTTCAACTAAAGACACACACAGCCACGCAAAAACTGCGACATTTGTAAAGCTCCTTATGGGTACTGCAATTTGTGAAGTGCTTTCTTCCGTGGTGAAACGATCAGCACTGCACCACGGAGGAAAGCGTCAGAAAGTCACCTGGAGTTAAAGAGAGCGGGGCTGCGTTGCGTGCATGGCTTCCTTCTGCAGGTAACGGGGAGACGCGCTCTGGCGGCGGTCTCGTTCAGGATCCGAAAATACAATTTAAATATTTTGCACACTTATTCGACTTATTCCTAGTGTGCCACTGGTTACGGTGCCGCGTGCCAATGCTGGCACGCGTGCCAGGGGTTGCCGACCCCTGCACTAGACTTTTGAAACTACAGGAAGATAAGGAGGACTTTTACAAAACAGTAATAGAGATTGTTGTCCAGAAGGATAGCATGGACTTATATTCATCTTCAAGTCAAGGTAAGACCACAACTGTAATGAAAATGGGATCTTACTTAGAAAGAACAATCCAATATTTAGATTTTGGGTATCCTTTTGTTGATCGGTCTGTTTAAAATTAATCATAGCATCAGACTAAAAAAGCTTTTGAAAATAACAGAATATTTCGATTAAGGTCAAAATAGGCTATAATATTTGTAAATCTGACTCTGAAAGAGTCAGTGCCTCACCAGCCATGAACCTCACCGCACGTCACTGGTAAGAATGGAGAAACCAGCTCAAGTGCGCTAGAATTTGAAAGTACACAACCGGAAAAAATCTGCCCCTTCCTTCAGACTTCCTTACAGAGCCCCTCCTCCAACACACACAGACGTGCACATGACCAATGAGGGCACGAGATAAGTTTGTGCACGAGATGGAAGGCTGACAGGCAGGTAGGTCATCCAGTTATTTTAGCCGGGCCGGCTCAGATGATTGCTTTTTACAGCGCCACGGCTTCCACAGATGACATTTTTTATGTATTTATTGTCAAAGCATTGAATTTATTCATTGCTATCGGGATGTTAAGAGCATTCCATGGAATATAACAAAAAGTGTTTCTGAAGTGAATTACCTACCCCACCTTTAAGAACAATAGATATTTTTCTACTTCAGGGTTTTTTCTCCTAAATACATGGTCTTGAAGAGTTTTTATTTTGGACTCTAGCTTCTGTCTTTTCTGGCGTAACTCTCCGGATTTGGATGAATCTCAAAAAAGCCTTGAAGGCATCCCACTTGATACATGCCGTTGTTTGTGTAGTATTATCCCTGAAATAATGATCTATCTCTGTCCCCACATACTTAATGAATTCTTCATTTTGTAGCCATTTCTGATTTAATTTCCATCTGGGTGGATCTCTAACGAGGTTCTCGTCCGTGTATACCACACAGCATATTCCATGGTCTGATATTAATATACTGCCATAGTAACAGTCCTGTATTTTTTAACATGACGTTGCAGAGATTAAAAAGTTATCTATCCGCGAATATATCTGAAAAGTACTTGAGTGGCATGAGTAAGCAATATCGTTAGGTTTCAGGTGTCTCCAGATGTCTAACAAATGTAACTCTTGAATGAAATGTTGAATAGTTGTTATACTTCTAGTGTGAGTTTGATCAACGCCTGTAGATCTGTCCCTGGTTGGATCTAGTGTACAGTTCCAGTCCCCTGCAATTATATATTCTCCTGGGAGAGATGCAAGTGTAAGAAATACATTTGTAAAAAAGCCAGGCTCATCTGTATTGGGGTCGTATATGTTAACCAAATTCAAAGTAACTGAGAGCAAATATCTACCAAATGTATCCTTAATAACATTAAAAACTTGAAAGGGCACCGATGTGTGGATAAGAGTCATGACTCCCCATGCTTGTGATGTAAATGACGATGCATAAATGCTCCCCTGCCACCTCCTACCAATTTTTACATTTATCTTCTTTGAGAGTGTTTGTTTCTTGCAGGAAAACCATTTTTGAATCAGTGTCTTTCAGCTTATTGTAACACATGCACCAAAAGTGAATGCTGAGCACAGAATTATTTATACGAATCAGTTTCGATCAAACCTCTCTAATATAAATGTAGAAATGTCAGTGTGTGGACCAGCACATCAGAAGTCTAGGTC